ATGATTTTGTTTTTATATAAAATCTTCAAATAAAAGAATTGAAGTGGTTGAGTAATTTATTAAACTATGAATAATTGACTATTTCATTTACGTCGTCAAAGTTAATGTTGACTCGTAGTTATGAATAATTACTTATTTGACTTATGAATTTGGAACTCAAATTTGGACTACACGCTAAATTCTCTTATATATTTGATATATGAATATATATTATATATATATAATCTCGTAATTTTCTAGAGTTGTTTTCGGTTACTTTATCGTTCAAATTTATCAACTAATGTTCTAGAATTAAATTACAAGTTTTTAATTTTATTAACCAATATTTCTTCAAATCTTATGGTAGCATATCAATAAAAATAAATAAATTAGATAAAAATAAAATAATTGATTGAAAAATTTTGAAAATTTTAATCAATAGATTTAGATCAATTATTGATTTCACATTAACTTAAGTAAAAAATTACGTATGCATATAAATAATTTGCACTAAATATTTACTAATAATTACCAAATTATTGCTAATGATTTTTTAGACCCATCTCGACTTTTTTTTTCTATATACCAAAAATAATTGAAAAATCCATATAAATAGGGATTCTTTCCAAAAATTAAAAAAGTGTTGTATTGAGATAATTGTAGACAAAGAAATTTTGAAAAATATTTTGTATTTTTTTTCTAACAAAATTAATTGGAAGAGTCCATATAAATGGGGATTGTTTCCAAACAAATGGGCATTTAATTAAAACTTTTTTAATTATGATATTTTTAATATGTAATTAATGATTTTGGCGGAAAATTGTTTCTAAATTTGTAAAAAGATTATTCCTTTTTATATAATGATTTTATAATTGGACTAGTTGAGGCAAGACTAACTCATTTAGTTAATAACCTGACTAGTAATATTAATAAACGTGTCTAATTCATGCACATTTATCGACTTATTTAGTTAACAAAACAAAACAACTAAGGCACACGAGGCAAAGGAAAGAAAACACAAAACGAAACTAACACGACATGATATGTACACGAACACACAAAGCAAAAAGCAAGAGAAATCGAAAAACAAAGCAAGAATCAAGAGAAACACGCGAAATTAAGCAAAATCCACAAAAAGCAAGAGAAACACGGAAACAAACGACAACTAGATAGTAAACTTGGCGTCCTACTTGCCTTCCCCGGCAATGGTGCCATTTTGTTTAGTAGTATTTTTGGGTATGTGGTAACCGAGTTACCCGACTCGGGTCGTTCTCAAAGGAAGGCTATTCGGTGCTTCGTTCACTATCTAGTCGTCAAAGTCACACAACCGAAAAGGTCTTAAACATTCTACTCGCAATTTGAGGGTTTGAATTTAAACTAGATTAATCTACGAAATGAGAGCAATTTAAAGCAATTAACTAAGCACGCAAGAAGGTGAGAGAAATCTAGGGGAAAGAGAGATTTTGGTTCGTCGGAGTCTCTATGATCAAACACGCACAAATAACCGAACATTGCCATGCTAGCTAAAACCCTAGGAAGGTAAATCAAACTCTAGCACAAGACGAGCAAGCATTCAACTCCTAATCACACTTAGTCAAGCATTCACGATCTAAAGATTCAATCTTTTCCTCCAACCAACACAAGCACAATATCAATTTTCACGAAAGCAAACAAAGATATACGAAGTAATGAGGCTTAAGACTAAGTACCCACTCTTACACGCACTTGGAAGAAGAAACGGAGTCAAAAGCTCAAAACTTTACTCGAAACAATGTCGCCGGAAATTCGCCGGAAAACTTGATTCATAAGCTCCAAACCAAAATATAAAAAAAGGAAAAAGAGAAAATATAGAGGAATTCCCAACTTAAAAGTTGGGAAATGAGGTTATTTTTAAATTACAAAGCACAATGTCTATCTATAACTACACCATAAACACACACTAAAAGGGTAGGTCTTTGATTTTCGCAGCTTGATTTCGCTAGCTAGGTGGATTCGCAGGATACGTGAGATTCACAGGATAGAGGATGAAAACTCGCAGGATAGCATAAGGAATTCGCAGGATAGAGTGAACTCGCAAGATACACCGTTTTCGCGGGATAGAGCAGCATTTTCGAGGGCTCTAATCCGGCCTTGACTTGACTTTGAGGCTTGATTAGCTCCAACTTCTCGCACACAACTCTGATTCGCACGAAACTTGGACCAAAATTCTCCTTATTGAATTCTCTTCGTCCCGGTATGGCTTGGTCGGATTTTCCGGGTTGGATGGCTCGGTCGGCTCGGACGACTCGGACAGTACATCACAAATGACTATTTCTTCCTTCCGGCAAAAATACGAAAACACTATACAATAACAAAAATACACAAAACACGATAAAATGGACCGGTCGACACTAAAACGAGCCTAAAAACTATAAAATAAAGCACACAAACACACGGAAATAAGCACAAAAACACAATAAACACAACTCAGTTCGAATAAACGTTTGAGCCAGAGTTTGAGTTGGCCAACCGCTGTTATAATACCACTTGTAAGTTGTCTCATATCGTTTATACATGGAAAATATGTCTACCTTATACGTCTATTGGATTACTCCTCCCATCAACCAATTGGTTTTGGGTTGGAACCTCTCTTGGACTTTATTTAAGATCTCCATGCTTATAAGGCGCTGCATGTATGTGGGACAATACCTGTTTTACCACGTTTCTTACATGGTATTAGAGTCGATTCTACGTGAGACCGTGCGATGACGTACTCGTCACCCAGCCTAGTTAAGCTTGGGGCTCGACCTAGCTGGGCTAGGGATTCGTATGAGGACTCACAAGTGCGAGATGGTGCTATAATACCACTTGTGAGTTGTCCCACATCGTTTATGCAAGAAAAATAGGCCTACCTCAACTAATTGATTTTGAGATGGAACCCGACAAGGAGGGAAGCTCCGTGACTAGAAAGACACGGATGGAAAACTGAGATCCACCTCTATGCCGATCATCTCCGCGGAAGGACGGAGCGCACGACGATGGGGAGGCCAAAACGAAAGAGAAAATAAATGGTTTTGATTTGGATTTTTCTTTTGTCGGCGAGAAGGTACACTGCATTCTATTAATACTTCACACATATAATTACTCATATAATTGCAGTGCAATTATGAATCTTTTTATCGTTAAAGTAATATAATAAACCTATATAGATATATGTGTGTGTTGGTCCATGGCTGCAAAACTTAATAAATTGAATGCATTGTAGTGGTGGTATGTAGAGTGAATCTCCGTTGAGAGAGAAAAAGAAAGAGAACCAAAATGTGGAAATTTGAGATTCTTTTTTATGAGGTTATAAAACAAATTATCATATTGAAAACAAATTTGTTTACATAAGTTTATAATATTGTCTTTGGAATTCACATTTGAACATGCGATAGGTAATTTTTTTTTTTCAATATATAAATTCATTTGGTTCATTTTCTAAACCTAGCTACTAGTCATTCATCATCTAAACAAAATAAAGGGAAATGTTATTATGGTACCATCTCGTCGGGTGTTTTAACTGTTAGATCATTTATCTTATTTAACTACATATAGATTTAATGGTTAAAACACTCGACAAAACGGTATAACGAAACCGTAGCATTTTCCAAAATAAAATCTCTTTTGTCTCTAGTTAGGTTATAATTTATAAATAATAATAATAACTGATTAATATTTCAAAATAACATCTGAATTCTGAACTCATCTGCTTGTATATATATCTCCACCTATAGATACACCCTCTCTCTATCTCTCCGTCATTCGCTGAAAAATCAATCTCTCTCTCAATCATTTACAAGGGGAAGAAAAAAAATCGCTATCGGAAAACTACTTGTGTTCTTTGCAAAATCTCTTTCTTTATAGGTTTATCTGGAAAGCGAAACCTCCCAATCTCTTTCCTTATATAGTATTTCCGATCACATTTCTTAGCCCATTTGTTCTGTCTCATGTTTGGACCGAATCTTGGTTGAAGGTACTTTTTTTTTTCTTTCTTTTTTTTTTTTGATTGTCGTATAAAACTGTAATTCTTGAGCATTCAGAGTAATTTCTTTTCGGATGTTCCCTTTTTATGTCTGTTTTCATTAGTCTCAATTATGGGTTTCTTGAATTTTATCATATCAGTGTGTTTTTTTTATGGATTACTTTTTTTTTTCTTTTTTTTTTTTGTGAGTGAAATTAAGGTAGCTTCTTGAGCGGTTCAAATTAGGGTTTATACTTTACCCAATCTGATTCTTGATCTGAAAAATGTTGTTTTTCTTTATGATGTACGAAATTCTTGTCGTTATTGCAATGTTCGGTGAACAAGATTCCACCTTTATGGTCTCTACTCCAGAAATTGTGATTTGATGTTGTTTATTCACCTTTGTGGAATGGTAAATAACTGAGGATTTACATTTTTTGTGTGTAATTGGATGATTTGATTCAGATTTTAAGGATAATGGCTAAAACTGAATTATGATCTGCCCAAGATGTCAATCAATCTGTTTCGGTTTGGTAGCTGTCCCACATTTTTTGTTTTTTTTTTTTAATTTACATGTATAAGCATTTTGAAGGAAATCGAACTAGGACTTATCAAAATAACATCTTTCTGAAATAAGTGGTTACTGTTAAGAATGATAATTGTTACGGATATGAGTCGGAATGTCGATGGAATCATTTTATATCACTAATGGATTAACATCAGGAAAAGTTGAGTTTGGTATATTGGAGTTTGGTGTAAACTAACAAGTTGTTTTCCCGAATTGCTGATAAACCTGTTTTAATTATAATTTATATCCCAATAGCGATATTTAGAAAAATCGGAATCATTTGATTGGGTGATCTGAAGTTTGAAGTGCCCATTTTGTTTCTCTGCAGGAACCTCTTTGGGGCGTATCTATCATAAACTCGTCACTTGAGGTAACTGCAAATCTTGAAGCAGCTGTTGAGAGTATCTTTCTCGTTTAAAGAAAGAATAAAGGAGTTCGCTGTTAGCCTTTTTTGTTCTGCTGCACGGGTTTATGGTAATGTTACGTGCTATTTTTGTCAGCTACTTGTCATTTCCTCATGTGCAATGTGGGAGAATACTCGGCCAATATGTTGTCTTAGTAAGAAAAACTATACTCAAGGAAATAATATTGAATTTTCATTATATCATCTGTTTGAAAGAAAATTAATAGAAATTTATTAACCTTACATGTTTGTACATTTTGACTTGAATGGTGAAGAGATTTTGATGCATGTTTTCCATGAGTATCATCAATTCACACCTGAAGATTTTCCATTGGCTTATGCCTTTTCCATTTGTTTTACATGGTTTAGGCAACAAACGAGAATCTCCCTCCAAATGTCATTAAACAGCTGGCAAAAGAGCTGAAGAATCTTGATGAAACCCCTCCGGAGGGCATTAAAGTTGGGGTGAACGATGATAATTTTTCGGTTATATATGCTGATATTGATGGCCCAGGTACTTTTTTTCGCTTTTCTTTTCTTTTCTTCTTTTGGTAGCCTTTAGCTATTTATAGAATATAAGACGACACATTCTTTTTTGGTGTTGATTTTCTGTTTTATTGCAGCTGGAACACCGTATGAAAATGGGGTTTTTCGCATGAAGTTGATATTATCTCATGATTTTCCACATTCTCCACCTAAAGGTTTGTGACCTACTGTAGTAAACTGATATTAATTATACTACAATACTTCCAAGCGTCCATTTTGCTTTTCAACTTTGTTAGGCAAGTTTGTGAACATATCAATAAATAAACGCATATCATTTTTCACCTTTATTTTCCACTTGTAAGCACGTATTTAAATTATCCGTATCTCTTTCTTTGGGTAAGTGGCTGAAATATGAGAGGCTACATTTACGTATCCAATTCTCTTTCTTTTGGATCCTATTTCAACTAACAGTAGTCCATATCTTTAGTATCTGAAAACATTTTTAATTTTTCTTTCAAATGTTATCATTTCATTTCACTCTTATCCAGAAATTTGATATGGGGCGAAAAATGTAGTCCTTTATAACTGGGCTGATGTGTTACGGAGTGGAAGATGATTATATTTTTTGGTTTTTTGTTACCAAATTATCTTTTTTTAAAGTGTATGAACTTCTAATCTTAATTGTGGTTTTTCCCCTCAGGATATTTCCTGACCAAGATTTTTCATCCTAATATTGCAACCAATGGCGAGATCTGTGTGAATGCCCTGAAGAAAGATTGGAACCCAACTCTTGGCTTACGCCACGTCTTAATTGTAAGACAATTGGTGTTTACTTTGCTACTATTTATGTTCTGTCTAATTAAAATTTCGTTTTTGCACATCAGTGGCTTACGTTTGCAGAATCTTTATCTTTTGTTGGCTAATATTTTTTTTACTTCTTCATTTTCTGTTAATGGACAGGTGATTAGATGCTTATTGATCGAACCATTTCCAGAATCTGCTTTAAATGAGCAGGCTGGTAAGATGCTGCTTGAAAATTACGAGGAGTATGCCAGACATGCCAGGTGTTGTTCATACCTCGTTTATTTCGTGCTCTTTTCCGTTATGAAATGGTGTGTCGTATTTTGATTATAGTTTGTTGTGAATTGCTCAATTTCCAAATTTCTGGATTATATACATATATATCGTCCAAATACTTTCTTTTCCTTAACCGAGTAAAATTACACGTGGTCATGAATTGGTGAAAAAATCAAGAAAGTACAGAAAAACAGGTAGAGTAGTTTTGTTATGCAAAAAATAGCGCGAATGCGGATTGTTTTTGTAGCACGAGATCGTATCAAATCATTTGCTCTAACAAACGCTACTTGCAAAGAAAGTCGTTAAATCGAGTTTCAAGTATAAGTTGATATCCTTTCGCTATTCATGTGAACTGATATGGGTTTCTTTTCACACTTTCTTTGAATAACCTTATTCGAATCAGACTATACACGGGAATACACGCCCTCAAGCCGAAGCCAAAGCTCAAAACGTACCCCATCTCTGAGTCAACCGCTGCCCTAAACGTTGACCAAGTCAACGCCTCGACAAAGTGTCCCGACCAGAAAAACCATCCCCTCTCGAGCCAGGCTCCTTCCCCATTGGCACCCAAACCGGAAAACGGTCAAGACTATACGGCCGCCGCAAATTCATCTGCCGGCGGCTCGACAGCGGCTCCTCCAGCTGCTGCCGCCGCCCTGAAGAAGGAAGCTGGGCTTAGTAAGGCCCCATCGGACAAAAAGAAGGTAGATGCTAGAAAGAAAAGCTTGATGAGATTATGAGAGAGGCTCTTGTGTTAAAGTTCTCTGGCCAATTTTCTTTTGGAGGGGATGATATAATTTGTACTATTGAAGAATTGTGGTACTGAAAGACTGAAACTTGGATGATAATAACTTTGTTCCCTCATTTGCATTATTATACTTTTTAGCTCATTTCTTATTCATGCCT